TGGAGGCAATTAGCCACACATTCCATATCCTCCGCCTATTCCTGACTTTCTTCCTCTGCTATTCCATGTGAATAGAGACCAAGTGTTGTGCCTTTGATGGCTGCCTGCCAGCTTTTAAGACACCCGGCACTACAGGACAAACGAGGAGGCAGAAAAGAAGCAATGTTATTAGGCCAATTAACTGGGCGGTCCCATGAAACCATGACCCTAAACCTCTAAACCAAGGAACCAAATCCCAGGAGGTATTTGGTTGTGTATAAGCAGTCTCAGTAGCTACTCTTATTGTTGTTTAACATGTTTAACATCACATGTTTGCTAATTCAACTTTTTACAGGTATACAATGTATTGACACCAATTACAATGACAGGCTGTGCAACTCTACTCTTAATCAATGTGATTTTCTATCACTATTAATCCTCCTTTTCCCTATTTCTCATGCCCCTGGTAAAAATTCATAAACTCTGATCTCTACACAGTTGCCTTTTCTTGTCTTTTTTACATAACTGAAGTCATACAGTATCTGTTCTCCTGTGATTCGTTTATTTTGCCCCACATGTCTTTAGGCTCCATCTATACTATACCATGTATCAAGATTTCTTTTCTAATATTGCCTGGATAGTATTCCATTGTATGTATGTACCACATTTTGCTTATCCATTTATCCACTGATGGGCATTTAGGTTGTTTCTACCTTTAGGCTATTTGAACAGTGCTACAGTGAAACGTGGTATCAGGATTGGAGGAAGAATCATTAGCAATCTGAGATATGCAGATGATACAACTTTGCTTGCTGAAAGTGAGGATGACTTAAGGCACCTACTGATGAAGGTTGTAGAATACAGTCTGCAGTATGGATTACGTCTCAATATAAAAAAAACAAAAATCCTCACAACTGGACCAATGAGCAGCATCACAATAAATGGAGAGAAGATTGAGGTTGTCAAAGAATTCACGTTGCTTGGTTCTACAATCGATGCCAACGGAAGCAGCAGTCAGGACATTAGACGACATGTAGCATTGGGAAAGTCAACTGCGAAGGAACTGTATCAAGTGCTGAGGAGCAAAGAATATCTCCTTGAGGACTAAGGTGTGCCTGACACAAGCCATGGTATTTCCAATCGCCTCGTATGCATGTGAGAGCTGGACAATGAATAAGGAAGACCGAAGAAGAGTTGATGCTTTTGAGTTGTGGTGTTGGCAAAGAATGCTGAAAGTACCATGGACTGCTAAAAGAACTAACGGATCTGTCCTGGAGGAAGTGCAGCCAGAATGCTCCTTGGAAGTAAGAATGGCCAGACTTCGTCTCACCTATTTTGGTCATGTTGTAAGAAGGGACCATTCCCTGGAGAAGGATGTCATGCTTGGTAGGGTGGAGGGTTGACGGAAGAGGGGGAGGCCTTCAACGAGATGGACTGACACCATGGCTGCGATGATGGGCTCAAATATAGCAGGGATTGTGGGGCTGGCACGGGATCGGGCAGTGTTTCGTTCTGCTGTGCATGGGGTCGCTATGAGTCGGAAACAACTCGACAGCACTTAACAACAACAACAACAGTGAACACTGGTGTACAAGTCCCTTTTTGAGTCACTGCTTTCAAGTCTTTTGGGAACTGCTGGGTCAATATTATGTTTTTATGAGCTCAGCTGTAAGGATTTTCACTTTATGTTCAAGAACAATTCATATCGAAGGCTGTAGTCTGTGACCTTTATCACTGAGTGCTTCAAGTCATCTTCACTTTCAGCAAGGAAAGGTGCGTCATGTGCATGTTGCAGGTTGTTAATGAGTCTTCCTCTAATCCTAATGTTATGTTATTCTTCATAAAGGCTCACTTCTCATATTATTTGTTCAGCATACAAATTAAGTAAGTGAAATGAAAGCACAGAATACACCTTTTCTGCTTCTGAGTAACACAGTATCCCCTTCTGTTTGAGCAACTGTTCAATCTACGTACAGGTTCCTTATGAGCACAATTGTCTTCCACAGTTCCCATTGTTTACAATGTTACCCACATTTAAATAGTTAACATTATGTAATTCAGAGGATGTAAACAATTAAGTGTGCATTTTCTGAATTGTTCCAATGTGTTAAAGTACTTGCAACTTTGGCTCCTTCAGTTACTACCCCCAAATCTCTCCAAACAGTGAAATGAGAACACACACACAGAAATATAGATGAGAGGTGGCATGACTTCAGTGCTGGCTCCTTCTGGATAAAGACTATGGTGTGCAGCAGCACTCACATATGAGAGTGAGTGTACTACAGAGGAACAAACACTGGACACAGGGCCACATCAGAGAAAGACAAGACTGGGATGATGAGAGCCATGCTCCATATTAGGGCAAACAAGATGATAAAGCAGAAAAGGAACAACAGATGAACCATTCTGGAAGCTGAATGCTACACGAACAAACAAGTATCAGAGAAAGTAACCTTCATGAAAAAGTTGGGTTGAGACAAAAATATTCTAACATTTATTCTCTCAAGACATTCAGTGGAATGCATTAATTTTAACACCACTCAGAATAAGGCTGGCTGATTTCTCAGCAGTTCCTTCTTTCTGCTCCAGTGAAGGAACACCAAGAGGGGAACTACCAGGCCCCACCCAGTCAGATCTCTTCTTCATTAACCCAGATGATGGGACAGCAATCCCTGTCAATGGAAAAGTAGCCTTGTCCCTCACAGCCAGCTACCTAGAGGGAGCAAGTAGTTGAACCTGTGGGCTCAGAACCATAGTCACAGAGGACATCAAGCTCAATTGGCATAACATACTACACAAAACACTATTCCATCTCCTACTTTGGTGAGTAGCAACTGGGATCTTAAAAGTTCGTAAGCAGCCATCTAGATGCAACAACGGGTCTCTCCTTATCCAGAGCAAAGAAGAATAAAGAAAACCAAAGCTTCATGGAAACAATTAGTCCTAGCGACTGGTACATCATGTGATCCTCAGCTTATACGACTATGAGACCAGAAGAACTAGATGGTGCCAGCTACCACTGTCAACCACTCGGAGGGGGATCTATGTAGGAGATCCTGGATAGACAGGGAGAAAAATGTTGAATAAAACTCAAAATCATTTGGGAAAAAAAAAGGGGACCAGGTTTGCTGGTCTGACAGAGCCCAGTATGGCCCCTAGCTGTCCTTCAGGTTTGGAATTGAACCCACACCTGTGGCTTCCAGCCAAACAAAAGATAGGCATATGAGTTGAACATTTACCTCAGGTAGATACACTCCTTGGAGAGAACAATCATGGGAGAGAGAAGGGCTGTTTATGCACAGGGAGACAGCTTAGGGGGCAGGAGTGCATGGAGGGATGGACACAGGGAAGAGGTAATTATCAGGAGGATGTGGGAGGGGAGCTGTTGCACTGGGGTAAATTTTAGTCAATACCATGAGACAAAATGTATGTGAAATGCTGTATGGAAAGTGAATTTCCTCTGTAAATTTTCACCCAAATCACACAAAAAGTAGCCTTGTTCCACACTCTTACCATATTTTTTCCTGATTTCATCATGTCTTGACTTCATCTCCGCTCTCCTAAAAAATACAAAGTAATATACTGTAGCATCAAATTACAATGTACAATGTAATTTCAAAAGACACATCCTCACAAAATTCAAAATCATTTGGAGGGGAAAAAAAAAGGGGGGGGGGGAACAGGTTTGCTGGTCCGATAGGTATCCTGGTAGAACCCCTGAGATTATGGCCCCTAGCTGCCCTTCAGGTCTGGAATTGAACCCACACCTGTGGCTTCCAGCCAAACAATAGACAGACATGTGAGTTGAACATTTACCTCAAGTAGATACACTCCTTGGAAAGAACAATCATGGGAGAAAGAAGGGCTGCTTATGCACAGGGAGACAGCTCAGGGGGCAGGAGTGCATGGAGGGATGGACACAGGGAAGAGGTAACTATGGGGAGGAAGTGGGAGGGGAGCTGTTGCATTGTGGTAAACTGTGTTCAATATCATGAGATAAAATATATGTGAACCGCTGTATGGAAAGTGAATTTGCTCTGTAAACCTTCACCCAAATCACAATAATAATAAAAAAAAGACACATCCTCCCATATTATGGGTGTTTCCTCTTGCTGCCCAAAAAAGGACCAGGTGGAGATGAGCTTGGACACACCACAAAGAGAACAGGTAGTTTCTGCGACAGCCCTGATGTTACATAACTTAATTCTTACTGGTAAAGGCAATTCAAATGCCTGCTACCATGCTTTTTAAAATTCTTTGTTCACAAAAATAATAATAATAATAATAATAATGATGATGATGATGATGTACCCATCATAAAAATCTGATGCAGGTCCTGAAGACAACCACCTGTTGTGTTCAGTGCTCATGACTTGAAGGTGACTACACAGAATATCTACCCGGCATCAGTGCTCACCGGCTGATACAAGTCCCACAGCCTGTTCAAGTAGGGATAACATGACCTGCCTCTAAGGGCTGTCCTACAGCTCTAGCCAGCACACACTTGTGCAAGTGCTTTGTAATCAGGAAAGGTTATTCCATCAGTTGCTAGAGCACAGGAGGCCTCACCCTGCCATGGGTGACTCCAATCAAACCCTCCCTTTTATCCCTCTGCTTGCTCATTATGAACCAACAGGGCTGGACTGAGGTCTTCTGAGGCCCTGACATCTTGGCATTCATGATGTAAAATCATTAAATCACACACAGGAAGGTTCCAGAAGTCAGGTCCTGCTGGCTGCAATTCTTAACTCTGACTGGAGGAAGCAGATAAGGAAAATGCAACCCATGACAAAGCTAATGGCCACCTGCTAGTACCCACCATGCACTGTCTCACTCTTCCTACTGAGACCTACACAAAACCTCACAGAACCTGAGGAACATTCCTCATTCATTTTTAAAATGGAGACAACTGTTAATTTTCCAAAATCTTCCAGATTGGAGCCTCCACAACTCACCTTTCTTCCTGCCGGATCCTGCGCTCCTCGCGTTCCCGCATGGCCTTCTCCTCGCTCTTGTCTGGCTTATGGCTCTTCTTCCCCCTGCAGCAGTAGCAGCAGCAGATTGCTACAGAGGAGGATGGCGCCTCCCACCACCGACATCGCAATGATCAACGCCTCAAAGTTTACTGGAAAATTCAAACGTGCCAAGTTAAAATTGCTTCAATTACGGAACCCACAGAACCCATCCATGACAAATGATCTTAGCATACGTGAACAGACATAGGAAGTCCACCTCTGACAAGCTGTTAAACTAGACCTGGGATGGAGTGGGTCACAAGCAGGACCTCCAACCCACATCTTTGGTCAGTAACACCTTTGTGACCTATAACCCATTTGTGGGTTAACCACAGTGAATGTAAGTTACAGATCAGGTTTTTTCACCACCTGATACTGAAAGGATGTTCAAATAGGAAAAAAATGAACACACACCTTCTAAAAATTAAATTTTTATGTGCTTCCAAAGACTTCTCCAAAAGAGTCAAAAGAGAACCTATTGATTGGGAAAAAATATTTGGTAGTAACATATCTGACAAGGGACTCATCTCTAGAATTTATAGAACACACCAACACCTCAATAACAAAAAGACAAACAATGCAATTAAAAAATGGGCAGAAGACATGAATAGACACATCACCAAGGAGGATATTCAAGCGGCCAACAACCATATGAAGAAATGCTCACGATCATTAGCTATTAGAGAGATGCAAATCAAAACAACAATGAGATACCATCTTGCTCCAGCACTAGTAGCAAAGTTCAACA